AAAAATTCGATCAATCATTCAGAGCAATTCTCAAGAAGAATCTCGATTTTTCTCTGTTTCGATCCTTTTTTTCTCACCGAATCCTAGAAATCGGCTAACCAAACCGCGACCATATTAATTATAATTCTTCTGAATAACGCGTGTCACGTGAAACACGCGCGACTTTTGTGGAACTTGCCTTTTCCCCTGTCGAGCCATGCATCACTGTCGTTTTACGTGTAATGTGTGACAACTCTGAACTGATGTCGGTCAATGGTTAATGACATCATCAGTCTCATATACCGAACAACATTCGTGGAATGTAGCCGTGTATCTTCTGCACGGATCCTCGATGCTTTCCTCTCCGTTTTTGTTCCTCCTTTGTTGTTTGCTCGGAATATTGGGAAATATGGACGAATTAATTGAGAAATGAACACGAAAAGAAACAGTTTCGAAAAAGTGAAAAAAAATAGAAGCATGCAATATGCATTTTGCATATAGCTCAAGCTTATTCGATCAATGTGAATTATTTGAGCTTTCTTTCTTTATCAATTAACTAATAATTTCCAAGTAACTTGAAATCATTTTATTAATTCAAATCTGTCATTTGACTTGATTTGAAATATCTTTTCAAGTTTCAAATTCATATTCACTCAGATTCTTTCAACTTTTCTTTCGAATGATGAATTTACGAACTTATGAAAATTTACAATTCTTTTCTGTTTCTCTGAAAGAAGATAAAAGTTGATATTATTTAAAATTTTTCTTAAGACGATGTTTTTTTTCATCATTTCATAAAAATATTATATGAAAAAGGAAAGGAAAATTAAAAATTAGAACGTTCAAACATTTTCACAAATTATTGTACATAGATATACTCGCAATCAACTGCATTTATTCTACGTACACAGTTTCTAATCATTCCGTTTACGCTTTTCGATCATTGTATCCCCGCAAACACATCACCACGTCAATTTGCATTCGCTCGATCACCACCCATTCTAACCAAATTTAATTAGTTTCAATAATCAATACACTAGAACTCCATTTATCGGAACTTATGGACAAAACGTTTATATAGATATTGATTTATATTGATTTTCCTTTACCAACAATCATTCTTTGGTTTAATTAGAGATTATTAACATTTCGAGGAACAAATTTAATATATTTATTCGTTTATCTGTTTATAGTGATTATATAAAATGTTCATTATTCTATTTATTGTAACAATAAACGAAACTTATTGCATTTTTCTCCATATTTGAATCTAGTTATGTTTCACCAGATTTGAATCTAGTTATGTTTCAAAATGTTTCAATCTTATAATTAGTTTTTAATTTTAATTTTAATGCGTATGATTATGAAAAATTATAATATTTTTTATCTTTTTCTTTCTGATATATTTCTTTTTTCTTCCATCTCATCATATATCAGCATTTTAGTATGCTATTTTCACTATAATTTCGTCGATATTTAAAATTCCCTTTTCTTTTAAACTACTTACCTTGACATTACATACATATTTTAAGATACGAAATGGATGTTGTTATTTTATACATATTCTTGAAATTTATATTTTCTCATAATGATAAATATAAATAAATTTTCTCTTTTTTATACAAGTTATATAAAATCGATATATTCCATTAATGAATTGGATGTTTATACAAAATGAAATTTAAATTGATTAAAAAAATGGAGATTTGATTTCTTATTCTTCGATCATCATAATGCGTATTATATTTTGAATATTTTCTTGCTTTTTTGCATATTATATTCTTTAGATTTAAATTTTGCATAAACATTACATAATTATTAACAATATTATTCATGTGCATGTTATTAATTATCGATACGTTATCTCGTAGGATTAAATTTTATACTGAACGTTGGAATTAATTAGTCAAGTTAATAATCTCCTTTAGGTAATCTTATGAAGTAACAGAACACTCTGATTAAGCGTTAAAGATTATTAGATACATAAAAATACGTATAATAAGATATATGTTTATCCTTTTAAAAAATCTATATCTTTTTTTTTCAATAATCAGTTTCTAAATCTTTATACATTTCATTTACGATTGATGCTCGTGACGTAAGAAGTGTTAATCAGTTCCTTGAAGAAAGATCTGGCTAATCTGCATGAATAATCGAATCTGTACGTCTAAGCATAAACGTAATTTATCATCTTATTATGCAATTATGCAATATTGTTCCATAATACACTGGTATATAGTGTATATATGCGTTACAAAATTTTGACGTAACACGATAAAACTGACTTTTTAATCTTAATAAAAATTGATCGATTATGAACTTGTTCTCTCTTAATCGTTATGAAACACGTTCGTATGAAATCAATCGACACTGAGATATTATGAATAACATGTATGACTGAAAAAAAAAAATAATAAATATTAATGTACATATTCCATGATTAAATTATGGAAAATATTAAAGCAAAATTAACAACTGTTTCATCGCATTGTTAATTAATCATTTTTAATTATTCAACAGAAATTGAGGATTAAGAATGCCAGAAAACCAGATACAATAAACAGATCTTAAATATATATTTATCATTTTATATTCATAACAATTTTAAAAGAGTTCCAAATTTCTATCTAAATAAATTTAAAATTAATTCTCCTTAAAAGAAGAATTATTCTTCATTCACAATTGATGCGTTCATTCACAATCCTCTATTAATTAATTACATATTCGTACATAAGAAAGGATCAGACTTAAGAAGAAACGACTTAAGAACATAAGAGTTCAATTTAAACGCTTAAAAATTTATTGTATAATTGAGACAAATATTTATACACAACCATTATCATATAAACATCGATCACGTTATCGAATCACGACTTGTAACTCTAATTACATATCCATATCTTCTAAAAAAAAAAAATAATGTCAAGCAATGTCGCGTTGTTTCACACGACTCACTACATTAATAACATCTGACGATTCAATGACGAAAAAAATAGAAAAATTAAGTAAAGTCTATATAAAAAAAAAAAAAAAACAAAAATACACTGCGTAACGATGAGCCTCGAAACTTTCGCACTCGATCCATCGTCGGGTCAATTACGCCTTATTTCTACTTTTATTGTTATTCGCGTGTTGCGTGGATCAGCGCGCACTGTCTTGCTCCGGATGGGCTGCAATGTACTCCAAAGCTTTGAGAATCGCGGCCGGGATCGGATGAGGGGTTGGAAGGTGTTCA